ACAAGTGAATGGATGTGATAATTTCACAGGGCTCAGACTGCCGGAGCCAGGCTGCGAGGACCGATCTGGCAGCCAGGCGGGTCCAGGGATCAGGTAAGTACCCTTTTTCTTTATTTTAGGCCCTAGACCAAAACGAGCACTTAACCCTTTCAGTGCGGCTGTAGCCTCACCGCAAGGTTTCTTTTTTATTCTGCCCAGAGTTGTTGTTTAATGTGGGCTCAATCCACTCCGCTGGACAGCGTGGAAGGGGGGTATAAGTGGGTAGGGGGGGCTCTTATAGGAAAACCTTCACTTTGATTTGAATGCCAGGTATAGAGCGTGTTGCATTCATATACTGATCCAGCTCAGCCCAATGTAAGTATGCTTATGACATACCTGGCCTGCTCATGGGCATCCTATAAAGCACTGTAGTAGCCAGAGCCAGGTCCCGATACTAGGCCAAGCGACTTCCCCTCTGCTGTGAAAACACGCAGGTCACTCGCTCAGCACAGCGGCCGTTCTGCACATGACTAGTATTTTTTTTATCAATGAATACAAGGAATTCCGATTGATGAGGGGCAGTGACATCACAATCCGCCCCTCGTCCAATCAGACAACGCCTTGCATTCATTGATAAAAAATACCAGGCGTTCTCAGAATGGCTGCTGTGCTGAGCGAGTGACCCCCTTTGGGGGGGAAGTTGCTCAGCTCAGGAAGATTGGTGTCAGCACTGTAGTAGCTCCGGCACAGTGCTGTAAGCTACACGCTGAACTAGGAATGATGACCCTTTAAAAGTGAACCTGTCACAAAACATATTAGGTCCTGATGGTGGCTGCTGTTCTGTAGCTCTTGTTCTGTAGCTTCTGTAGCCCCCCCGAAGCTTTTCTGCCCCAAAGCTAGTGTGTGGCCCAGGAGTGAGAGGAAATGCAGCTTCCATAAGTGACTTCACACACAGGTGACAGATAAAAACACAGAACGGAGAGAGCTCTACTCCTGGAGGGGTGATGTCAGGTCACCGAGGGGCCGGTAAAGACATGGATGGACTGAGCCTACAGACACATGACGTACAGGAGGGGGTCCCAACCTTCTGAAACTGCCCATTCACCGGTCCCTTTACTTTGCGCTGTGACTCTTCCCAACCCCCCGTCCTCCATACCTGAGTGTTTGACTTGCGACGTTTCTTCTCTGGGCTCTTCATTTGCATACCTGGAAGAGAAGGTGGGAAGTCAGGTCACCATGGAAGGAACAAGAAAAGTGTACCATGAACACGCAACCACCAAAACCTAAATATATGGTGACTGAAGGTGCAAGAAACCGGCAAAGCTCACCTACATCAGTCTCTGAATCTACTAAAAAACCCCCTCTCCTCCCCTATTCCTCCTGACCTCTCACCAACTCTTCTCCCCCTATTCCTCCTGACCTCGCGCCAACTCTCCTCCCCTATTCCTCCTCATTATGCACCGTGATCACAAGCCCCCACTTGGTCTTATACATATCCTTGCACACTCCCCTTCCCCAATCCAACCCCACATTATCCCTATGTGCTCTTCTCCTAAGCCCCAATACATCCAAACACTCCTCCATCACCCCCCTCCAACCATATTACCACCTTACTATTACTACCATACACTCCCCTTAGCCTAACTCAAATACTCCCTCACTTCCCCACTACTACTCTTCCCTCCTCATACACCCCCAAACACCCACTCCAATCAATTGCACCCCATGTCATACTCTGCTACATAGACCAGAACCCACATTCCCCCACCCCTTAGATTCTCTCATACTCCACCCCAGGTCGGCGGCCATCAGAGGGAAGAAGATAAATTAATGTCCAGGCATCTCCCCGGCCTCACCGCACAAAAACCGGAAACTGCCGCTAGAGCACCGGAAACCGGCCGGACTGTACCACCCCGCCGGGAGGGGGATCAACGCCGCAGTGACCAGGAGCCCCCTAGAGGTTTTAGACACCGTCTTCGTCCTGACAGCAACGATCATACTATTATTCTACAGATTTGAAACCGTCCCGCACATCTCCGCCGCCTGATATCGTTTGCCCCCTTTCGCAAACAATGGTACCACCCTTCCCGCGTTTAAGGGAAGGGCACTTCGGACGAGTCCACTGTAAACACGGGGACGGAACGCTGGCGCGCAAACGCAGATCTTCTGTTCAATAATCACTTCCTAACACCAAATGTCCTCATACCGGACTGCAATAACACCGCTATGATCCGCCACCCGGCCTATCATTTCAAAACTACTTAACACACTAGCCCCTTTTATAGAATGGTATCGCCAGTTATGTGGGCACAGCAAGGGGTCTGTGGACGAGACCTCTGTGAAGGTGGGGGTGTGTGAGAGGGGGAATCACTCAGTGTCATGGCGTGTACATTTTATCTCCCCTCATTCAGAATCCCCATGGTTTATCTCCATACATTACACAGTCATCAGGAAAGTAGAGAATGTAGAAGTCACATTTCCCCCACAGCCATGTCTGTCCCTCGCAGAGGGGTCTGGGAACTGGAAGTAATTTAGGCAATAATTACCCTCATGGCTGATCTGGTTTAAATGTACTGAACACCCTCTCTCCATCTCCCCTCCTTACATGGCACCTTCCATCACTGTGGGACTACAATTCCCAGGATGCTCTGTGTTGTCAGCTCAGCCTCTGGCTATTCCTTGATCTCCAGATACAAAGACTGTGGTGTCCATGGATAGTGCTGATAAGGCCGGATTCTGGAATACGAGATAACAAAATTATGTGAATTGTATTGTGGTGAAAATATGAGACCCCAGGGTAACCGCAGTACAGTAATATAGGACCCTGGGGTGACCTCCCTACAACGTTATGGAACTCCGGGGTGTGACCTCACTATGATGACACAGGACCCCAGGATGAGCTCAGGGCGATGACACTGGAGCCCCAGGGTGACCTCAGAATAACATGGGACTCCAGGGAGCCCTCAGTACAATGACAGCAAACCCCGGAGTCACCGCACTATATGGAACTCCGGGGTGACCTCACTATGATGGAACTGCACCCCAGTATGACCTCAGTACAAGGACAAAGGACCCCAGGGTGAGCTCAGGGCAATGACGCTGGACCTCCAGGGAGACCTCAGTACAATGACAACAAACCCCGGAGTCACCGCACTACGATGGTACGGAACTCCAGAGTGACATCACTATGATGACACCTAACCCCAGTATGGCCTCAGTACAAGGATACAGGACCCCAGGATGAGCTCAGGGCAATAACATGGGATTCCAGGGAGACCTCAGTACAATGACAGCAAACCCCGGAGTCACCTCACTACAGTGACATGGGATCCTAGAATTACATAGGTGTAGCAGCATGGGACCCCACATGACCTCAGTGCAATGAAATGGGATCCCTGGCTAACCCCACTACAATAATACAAGATCCAAGGATGACACGGAACCCCAGGATAGCATCACTGTGATCACACCGGACCCCAGGTGACCTCACAACAATTACACGAGATGCCAGAGTGACGTCACAACAATGATATGGGAGTCCCGGTTGACCTCAGTACAATAACACAGGACGCCGGGTTGACCTTAGAGCCATGACAGGGACGGTGAGATGACCTCAGTACAATGACAGTGAACACTCTGGGTCACCTTGCTACAATGACATGGGATTCCAGGGTGTCCTCGGTATGAGGGCATGGACCCCCAGAATGACCTCAGTGCAGTGACATGAGACTGCAGGGTGACCTCACTACAATGACATATGACCCGAGTGACCTCAGTATTGGGACATGCGACTTCAAGGTAACTTAAATACGACATTAAACCTGGGGGTCACCTAGCTACTTTGATGTGGCATTCTGGGCTAATCTCAGTATGAGGACAAGGGACACTGGAATGACCTTAATGCAGTGACATGGGAGCCTGGAGTGACCTCAGTATGGTGACACGGAACTCTGGAGTGACTTCATTATAATGACATGCCAACTTTTTCAATCATCGATTAATCGGCTTCCAATTAGTTGGCCCTGTTCACAGCTCCACACACGCTGCGCGCCGCACCTCCTCCCCACCTCATGCTCGCCGCTGCCAGACCCGCCCGCCCGCATCCACACGCCGCACCTCCTCCCCACCTCACCACCCGTCCACATCCACGATCGTCACAGGGACGCGGGGAGAAGAAGTAAGGAGGAGCAGGTGTGGGGGGATGACAGCCACCGATAGACAGGCCCGATCTCAGAAACAAGTTGCTGGAAGACTGCTCAGGTAAGCCAGCACTTCCCACACATGGTGCTCTATAATGTATTGCTGGGATTTGTAGTATTCCTCTATAGCTGATGGTACATTGTGCTGTATATTATACCATCAGCTATAGAGGAATTCTACAAATCCCAGCAATACATTGTACACTGTATGTATAATGTACTATTGCTGGGATTTGGAGTCCTCTATAGCCGGTGCCATTCTGCATTCATTGCTGTATAATTTTACACTTTTCATTTCACTATATTGCACACCACACTTTTTAATTTCTTTTTTACTTCCACCGCTCCAAGCTTGCTCCTGTGATGGACGGCAATCTCAATACAAACTAGTAGTCCATCACTGGAGCCTTTTTTTAAAATGTATTTTATTTTTATCCGATTAATCAAACGTAATAATCGGCTAACTAATCGATTTTTGAAAATAATCGTTAGCTGCAGCTCTACTCTCCATACCTCTGAAGAGAGAGCGTGCAAAGTGTAGGAGCCTACCAAGAGGCACTGTGAAAAGCCGGCTGAATCTGGCCTCAAGGCATTTTTCTAAAACTCTGATTGAAGGTGAACTGAGAGGTTCCTGCCCAGCACTGGCAGCTCCTCGCCCGATTCTACTTGTCATCCGGCGCTGTAGACACCACAGCCTGCTCCTCTCGCGGAGTGGTGACACGCCATTGCCAGAGGGAAGGTGAATGACGCACGGGCCGATTCAGGACGAAACGTCAGACCCAGAAAAACACGACCACAGACACGTGTAAAGAAATACTAACTTTAATAATGAGCGCTTGTAACTTTCCTTTGGTATAATCAAGGCAAAAATTTGTCTTTAAAATAATATGAAATAAACAAAATTCATGTACAGGAAGTGGCGCAGCAATACGTGAAATAGATGATATGTTGCTGCAGGTGGCGAGACTTTGGTATCAGAATATAAAGTGTGCATGCAATAAGGTGGGGGGGATGAGGGGGTCTATGTACATGTGTATAGGGGGAATGGGGGGGTGTGGGGGGGCAAACATCATGTGTGCCCCGCCTTGAGCCAAGCCAGCGACACAGCAAAAGCTGTTCTCCCATTGGTCTGTACCCCAGGAACATGGCTGTGGGGTCACATGACCAATCTACCTTCTTTCCATCCTGCTGCCACGGATGTGGGCAGAACTCCGGGTTAAGGAGTGGCGGCTTTCCCCATGGAGGAGCCATGACCACCGTGCTGGCTGCAGGTGTCCACTGACCACAGACATCTCCACCACTAATGTCTATGAATATCTTCAGCTCTAAGGTCACCTCATTCTTGGAGATCTGGGGGTACAATCTTCCATCTGTATCCCGCTCTACTCTCTGAATCCATTGATGCGGTCGATCCTCCACTTCTCTGGCCTTGGCCAACCCATCCCAGTCCGAGATCCCTTTCCCATTACTGAGCTGCCTTCTGCTCCATCCTGAGTCATCTGACCAATTTACTAAGGCGGCCCCAGATCTTCCTGAACTTCTCCATCCAGCGCGGAGCACAAATTGGGCCACCGATGTGCTTATTCACTATGGAAAGCAGCAATGTACAGGGGACACTCAGGGGAACCAATCAGAATGCCCCTTACTGCAGCCATATTAACGCCGTGCTAATCGGAAGGCAGACGGGTAGTCGCTGCCGACTGCAGGACCGTCGCAGAGACCACGCCAGTATGAACTGGGAAAACCTGTGCTCGTTGGTGAACTGGAGAGACTTCCAGGATTTAACACATCAGACAGGAAAAGTTTCTATTGATAAATGCATAAATCTTCCAATTCAAGCAAAAGATGAAGGAGACACTCCGCCTCTCCTGAGGACACTAAGCGTAACCAGTGAGGTGGGAGGGCTTATAGCCTCTTGGGGGCGTGCCATCAGTCTCTATGTGCCTTTTGTCTATTTCTCCCGTAGGTGACCATATGACCCTACGTCTCTTGCCATCAAGCTGTATCCCTCAAAGCAGGGGTAGCCAACCTCAACCCACCAGCTGTGGTGAAACTGCAATTCCCATCATGTCTCTGCCCCTGGGAGTCATGCTTGTGGCTCTCAGTCTTGCAATGCCTCATGGGACTTGTAGTGCTGGGGTTGCCTACCCGTCCCTCAAAGGATCATAGCTAAATTCTGATTGGCTACGATGGGTTGCAGTTCTGAACACTTCATCGCCGCCCTCATTCCTAACGTTGCGCTGTGCCTGGAGCATGAGCCGCTTATCCTCAAACGCCGACGGAGGATCTATGAAACTCTACAATCCAAGGATCCAATGAAACAGAGACGGAGCAAACCCTGCTCTGCATCAATGAAGCCGAAATGGGGTACCACCACGGCTGAAGTTGGGTCGCTCTCCTAAGAAGCGGGTGCAAGACGCCAGCACGAGCCCACACACAAAGGAGGAGGAAGCTATCCGCACTCAAAAAGATTCAAGTGCTGACAATCTTTATTGATCCCGACATAGCGAACCAAGCAGGGTCAAAGAAGAAAGCTGCCTGGGACGCATTTCACCCACTAGGGGGGCGTAATCTACAATGGTGGTGAAACACGTCCCAGACTGGGAGTCTCTGTTCGCCATTTCTGGATTAATAAAGATTGTCAGCAGTTGAATCCTCTGGATTGCAGCCGCTTCCCGAATATTTAAAAGCTCATCACATCCGCCACGCTGGAGTATGGCGTTCATTGTCCTTATGCAGAGCACGCTGGAAGATTTGTAGTAAGAGTGTGATTATTATGGGAAGGGCAATACCTCCCTCACCCTGCGTCACAAGCTGCAGAGCTTGCACCCCGTCTTTTGGTCTTATTCCAGTTAAGGAGCGCCCCCATTCCTGATCAATAGCTGGAAACAATAATGGAGCAAAGTAATACAGATCCCCGACATGGCTCTCTGATGACCTGTATAAAGTCAAATGAGACAGCCAAACGTTCCAAAAACCTTCAATGACTACATAGAACAGCCAACATGTTTTGGGGGGGGGCGCAAAGACCTCCTTCTTCAAGACTACAAATCAGATACGAACATATATAAATGTGTACATTGGTGGGGATACACTCCAGCGTTAAATGTTTTGTAGTCCTAAAGGAGGGGGAGGTCTTTGAGCCCCAAACGCTTTGGCTGCTCAATGTTGTTGTTTGTGAACCAACACTAGTATTAAAATGATTAGACTTTATACCCATAAATCTTCAAATCTGGGACCCCTGATTGAAGGGCACCCCGAGCAGCCTCACAAGAGCGATTGTGCCTTATCAGAATCTGATCTATCTTCCAATAAATGAAATCCAGCTCCACGTTTGTACTTGTAACCGTTCTCTGCCGAATCTAAAATGCGTTGTCGCTCCAGTCACAGGGAAGGACGAGACGGGACGGATCTGGCGAACGCAAAGTCATGTTTCATTAACTCTCTTCTCTTTCAAGCAAAAAGGAGTCACGGAACGCCTCTATACGGAAAGACGGGGCTCAGGTTCCAGGACAGCGATGACACACAGACAGCAATGGGTTTGCTTAGTCCTTTAGATCGAAGAGCAGGACGGAGGCGTGGAGGGCGGGACCTATAGATGAGATGCTCTGTACGTATAAATGGCATCCGGGGCGACGGTGGGGAAAAGAAATTCCAGCATGCAGCAGCTCCGGCTACAATCATTATTGCCGTTCGGTCAAGAACCAATCTTCGCTGAAATCCCACACAGAGGGCGTATAAGTCTATAATGTGTGGCTGAGAAGGGGTTAACATTGAGGTCGCCCCTCTTCATAATTGGGATGCATTGTACAAAATCAAAGAAAAAAACCAAAATATTCTAGAAGGCACAAATCAGTATCGCAGCGCGGCCGCCACAGATCGTCGTGTGCTATGAGAAGCGGAGCCTGTCTTGTGCTGAGGGGGTAAGGGGGGCGGCCATCCGCTTGTCCGCCATCTTGATGGGTACAGTCCGCTCCCTTAAGTGCGATTAAGGGGTTATTCCGGGTCTCGCTGTCCCCACTTGTGCATTAGGACCCCTAAAGATTCCCTGAAAGTGACAAAAGGGAGCCACCCGCCATGGCGACGGGCTCGCAGCAAGATACAGGATTAGGATGGCCGACACCCGTGATTGGAGAGTCAGAAGGAGAAAGAACGCGGCTGTCCGTGGCCGACGGGGCCTCATTGTCTCCGCTCCACGGGTTGTTGAAGACACAGCTCGCTCCCGGCCGAGATAATCGGTAAGTGATTGTCCATGTGGTAGCTGATGAGGTGACTCACGCTCTCGAAGCGGTGGTCCTTAGTCCGAACCTGGCAGGAAGAGACACTGGCTTAGTGGGATTTCCACCATTACTACCAAAACAAAAATGGCTCCTCTAATAAGGAACGCGGTTGTGACACAAAACAGAGGACGAAACTCACCACTCCTTCTGGATCCACCAGCAGAAGGTGCTTAGGCTGGCCATTCTGGAGGCCGGTCAGGACGTACTGCCCCGGGGTGGTGGTACTCTCTCGAACTAGGAAGTCTCCGTTGACTCTTAGAAGCCTCTCGGCCTCCTTCCGGGTCATCTTCCCTTGATACCACGGCTCCCGCTTCAACTGCTCCTCCATGCTGACGATGGCCTGGCCCGGAGGAAGGGCTTCCTCAAATGGCTCTGTGGACAGAAGGATGTTTAGTAAACCCATTACAAAACTGTGGTGGCATCACAGTACTGCTGCAAAGTACAACAGTAAGGACCACCCACTGCCGATCCCAGACAGGAAGAGGAGGGACTATGCTGACCACACTTCGGGGTAAAACCTGGAGATGGGCATGAAACCTCTTATTGTATTCAATTTTTTAATCAGTATACAGTACCCGGTTAATCCAACTGAATTATACCACAACCATCCCACGTCGTCAATGAAGAGATCTTGTTAGGACTAGCCCACCTACAACAATGACTGTCCAACAACGACTGTTGTGTGTGGCCACCTTCACGAATCGGAAACCCCAAAAGTGAAGGATAAAAGTGCAGAGTCTGCCCTGAACCGAGCAGAAGAGACTCACTCATGTCAAAGATGTCCCTCTGGCCGTTGGTGGCCCCTCGCTGAGGCTGCCGGGACTTCTCCAGGTTCTGGACGTTGACGTAGGAGGGGTCATCAAAGAGGTCAGGCCTGTTCATGGGCTTGGCACCGGGTACGGGGAAGCGCTCCTTAGCTAAATAGATAAATAGATGGGGAGAGATCACATAAGGACCAGGGATTAGGTGGGACATGGTGACGGAGACAAGAGGAGGGGTCCGATCAAGGATTAGGTGGGATATGGTGACCGGGCCCAGAGGAGAGGACAAATACAGATTAGGGATTAGGTGGCACACGGTGACCGGGCCTAGGGGAGAGATCACGTAAGGACCAGGGATTAGGTGGGAGATGGTGACCGAGACAAGGGGAGGGGTCCCATCAAGGATTAGGTGGGACATGGTAACCAGGACAAGGGAGGGGTCTGATCAAGGATTAGGTGGGACATGGTGACCGAGAGAAGGGGAGGGGTCCGATCAAGGATTAGGTGGGACACGGTGAGCGGGCCCAGAGGAGAGGACAATTACAGATCAGGGTTTAGGTGGGACACGGTGACCGGGCCAAGTGGAGAGATCACATGAGGACAAGGGATTAGGTGGGACACGGTGAGCGGGCCCAGAGGAGAGGACAATTACAGATCAGGGATTAGGGGGGACACGGTGACCGGGCCAAGGGGAGAGATCACATGAGGACAAGGGATTAGGTGGGACATGGTGACCGAGACAAGGGGAGGGGTCCGATCAAGGATTAGATGGGACATGGTGACTGGGCCCAGGGCAAAAGCAAAATACAGATCAGGGATTAGGTGGGACACAATGACTGGGCACAGGGGAGAGGCCCAATTAAGGATTAGGTGGAACATGGTAGAAGGACCCAGGAGAAAGGTCTCATATACAGAAGGAATGAGGTGGGAACCAATGGAGATGGATTCAAAGGGTGATGAGATGTATATTATGTAACCAATCTATAGATTGGACCTGAGTAAGGGTGTAATTAGATAATTGTGCTTGTCCATCCTCATGCACCCTGTACTGGGAAGACTACAGGGACCATCTTGGCCTGTGTCTGATACTTGCAGTGTGTGCTGGGCTTAGTATAGCAGCAACTTGATCTTCCCGTTAACACTATAGGATGGGGGAACATTATCCTATGAGGTAAGCTGTATGGGGCCCCATGATTTCTAAAAGTGGGTCCGGGGATAATCTAAAGACCACATAGAGGGAGGAGACAGGCAATGGCTGGAATAAATCAATGGGCAAAGTTATCAGGAAAGGCAAGACCATCTGTATATGAGGCAGGAAACATGACAGGGGCATTCAGAAAGAGGACACTGTACCTTGTACGGAAGCCTGTGGTTGTAGCTTCCGTGGGTCCTGCTCCGCCCCGGTGATCTGTCCCACTGGCTGTATACAGGAAAGAACAGTTAGATAACCGCCAATTGGACACATTACCCCCCTGCCCCCATCTCAGTGAAGCCTCACCAGTGTGGCACCCATGTGGTTAGGGCTTTGCCTTGGTACTGCAGGAGCCGCTCCCTCGCGTAATCTCATGTCCACCACCCCGCCGATTGGTGGCTCTTTGCCTGGAAAATCGTTGTAATAGGCGTGGTCTGGAAGCTCCTCCTCTTCCTCGTCCCACGCGGAACCGTCAAACCCGGCCATCCTGGAGATTAGAAGAAAGGTGTGATAAACTGGACACTCCTGAGCCTACAGACGCCGCTCTCCGACCCCATATACACATAGAGGAGGGGAGGAGGGTACCTGTCATGCGGAGTCACTAATTTGGGAGGATTTTTGAGGTATTGCTTGAAGCGGAGTTCAAAGGCTTGTCCAATGGTGCTGATCACATCCTGGGCCAGACCCTCAGGGCACTCCAATATATGGCAAGCTGCAGGAACAGAGACACGTCGTTATTTATGCTGTGGCTGTGCTAGGAACGACTAAGGGACCAGTCACACCATAAAGAGTGCGTTCCAGAGCGTTCCGCCCCTGGAAGGCAACCCGGCTGACTCACTTTGTTTGGGGCGGGAAGGGGCGTAGCGGTGCATTGGCACCACAGCCAAGCCCTCTGCCCGCAGTGCGATCGTCGGCACCCAAACGCGTGGCACTGGTCCAGTGCGATCTGCAAAAAATGCTGCATGCACTACTTTTTGCAGATCACATTTAACCCCGAACGCAGGCACTAACACGTGCCACACGTTTGGGTGCTGGCGATCGCACTGCGGGCAGGGGGGTGTAGCTGCAGTGCCATTGACTTCAATGCACCGCTACGCCCCCTCCCACACCAAAACAAAGTGAGCCGGCCGGGTTGCGTTCCAGAGGCCGAAAGCTCTGGAACGCACTCTTTGTGGTGTGACTGTGACTTTAAGCCTGATAGTTCCAGGTATGGAGGAGTATGTCATTTACTCCCCTTCCTCCCATGTGACAGCGCTGGTGACTTGGGGAATGACATCCAGGTATGGAGGAGTATGTCATTTACTCCCCTTCCTCCCATGTGACACTGCTGGCGGGTCGGGCGGGGATGACATCCAGGTATGGAGGAGTATGTAATTTACTCCCCTACCTCCCATGTGACAACGCTGGTGGGTTGGGGGGCGACATCCAGGTATGGAGGAGTATGTAATTTACTCCCCTTCCTCCCATGTGACAGTGCTGGTGGGTTGGGGGTGACGACATCCAGATGGAGTATGTAATTTACTCCCCCTCCCCCCATGTGACAGTGCTGGTGGGTTGGGGGGGGGGACGACGACGACATCCAGATGGAGGAGTATGTAATTTACTCCGCTTCCCCCATGGGACAGCGCTGGCGGCTTAGTGATTGGCTGCTCAATGTCCCAGTGCTGTCACATGAGCTGGGCAGAAAGTTTTCAGTTTTCTGTAAGCTCCAAGTTGGGCCTCACAACTTACAGGATAAGAGAACTTGTCCCTTTAACCCACACAAGCTAAGCCCCCTGTGTTGCATTGGGGAGAATTCCCTTCACTTCCTGTCCAATAGCCAGAACAGGAAGTGAGGAGAAATCCTTTCGAAGAGAAGAAAAATCCCTAGTGGTCTGCAGGGTCACCAGAAGTGTCCCCATTGGAAGATTTCCCATCTATTCCTGTTCTGATGAAAACCCAATACGTCAGTGATAACGTCCCGAGGACAAAAAGAGGGGGTGAATCTCCCCAAAATAAAGAAAAAATTCAACTCAATTCAACTTTAATAACCCCCCCCACGCTAATTACATTTCAATGATCAGATACATTTTATGATAAACCCCCAAAGTTCTGTAGTATTTCCTGTTACAGAAGAATGAACATGGAATCCCCTCTCGCCAGTTGGAGTCCCCCATGGAGTCCCCTCTCGCCGATTAGTTGTATTTAAAAAAAAAAAAATCTCTCTCTCTCCCACCTGTCTCTCTTTCTCCCCCCTCTTTTGCTCTCCCTCTTTCTCCCAAACCAACTAATCGATAATGAGAATAGTTGCCAACTATTCTCATAATCGATTATTATCGATTTCATCAATTAGTTGTTGCAGCCCTACAGTTGTCTTACCTCTTTGATTCACTGGATCTTTGGCAACGTATGCTACATATTCTGCTGTGTCCTGCAATACAAAATGGCAGGGAAATGGTTACCCAGAATCCTCTAGCCCAATTCACAGCACCCTGTACACCTTGAGGCCCCATTCACACCTATGCGTATTGTAATATGCGCGTCTGTCACGCGACCGTCACGCGTTTTTTTAACCGCGATTCGCAGTAAAAAAGTCGCGCGACCGTCGCGCGATTCCAAAGGCTACTTGGCAGTATACAAATGGAAAACGCCCTACAAAACGGACCAATACGCAGCAAAAAACGCTCCGGGACCTTTTCATGCGTGGGCCGTTTTGTAGTGCGTTCGGGACGGGCGGAAATACGGACAGGTGGGAACGATACCATTGACTACAATGCTATTTATTTTTTTGACCGTTTTGTAGAGCGTTCATCGAGCGTAGGACGCGCTACAAAACGGTCAGGTGTGAATGGGGCCTTAGTGAACTTCTACTTGCTGACTCTATAATTCACCTCGTCCTTCAGTACAAATGTGAACAGAGGTCTGTCATTGTTGGAGCTGCTGTGTATAAATGAATATCTATATGTATAAGTATATGACCCAAGTATGTGGGACCCCTCCGAATGATGGAGTTCTGGTGTTCCCAGTGAAGGCTCCTGTTAACCCCTTAAGGGCCAAGGCCTTTTGTTCACGTACATGTTATAATCCACATTTTAGGCCTGAAAGTTACTTCAAACCCCCACACATTATATATTATCTGAAATCCAAGACCCTGTAGAATAAAATGGCGGCAGTTGCAAATTTTTATGTTGCACGACATTAGCGCAACTTATCAAGCCCCCAAAAATTTTGTGAAAAATGCACTTAAGTTAATTTTAGTGCCCCAAAACACTATATAAAACCATTAATTTTTATACAATGTAAAAGGTGAGGTTACAACGAGGAAATAGATATCCAACATGCCCATGTTAAAAATGGTGTGCGTCCGTGAAACTGCGACAGAATTCAGTACCCCAAAAAGTCCATAGACGACGCTTTAAAAGCTGCTACAGGTCATCAGTATAGAGATACACATAAATACTGGCCCTAGAATTATTGCTTTTACTCTGGCGTGTGCAGCGATACCCAACATGTGTAGCACGTCATCGTTTTCATACGTAGGCGCACCCGACGTGTGTGTTTACGTGACAACGCGCATGCATGCGGGGACTTTGTTGTTTAAATTATTATGTTTAAATTATTTTTACATTTAATTTATTATTTTTAAAACGGTTAGTTAACGTTACTTTAATTGCTATCACATAGAGGGGCTTAGAAGCCCCCCATGTGATAACATGTTGGTGCTGACAGATCCTCTTTAAGGGGATACTGGGGGCCCAAAAGACCCCAAGTGTCACCTTTCCACTTTAAATAAGCTATTGAAGTGCAGATCACACTTCAATAGCTTATTGCTGGGCTTCAGGAGCCGAGCAATGACAGCTCAGGGACTGGAAGGGGCAGCGGAGCTCAGGAAACAGGGCAGGGGGTGTTGCCTGGCCTCCCCAGCTTCCTGCTGGCACATTTAAATAAGCTATTGAAGTGCAGATCACACTTCAATAGCTTATTGCTGGGCTTCAGGAGCCGAGCAATGACAGCTCAGGGACTGGAAGGGGCAGCGGAGCTCAGGAAACACGGCAGGGGGTGTTGCCTGGCCTCCCCAGCTTCCTGCTGCCACCCGACAAGCTGGTCCCGGGCCCGTAGGAGGCGCAGCGGAGCCCAGGAAACACGGCAGGGGGTGTTGCCTGGCCTCCCCAGCTTCCTGCTGGCACCCGACAAGCTGGTCCCGGGCCCGTAGGAGGAGAGGAGTATGTAATTTACTCCCCTTCCTCCCATGTGACAGTGCTGGTGGGTTGGGGGGGGGGACGACGACGACATCCAGATGGAGGAGTATGTAATTTACTCCGCTTCCCCCATGGGACAGCGCTGGCGGCTTAGTGATTGGCTGCTCAATGTCCCAGTGCTGTCACATGAGCTGGGCAGAAAGTTTTCAGTTTTCTGTAAGCTCCAAGTTGGGCCTCACAACTTACAGGATAAGAGAACTTGTCCCTTTAACCCACACAAGCTAAGCCCCCTGTGTTGCATTGGGGAGAATTCCCTTCACTTCCTGTCCAATAGCCAGAACAGGAAGTGAGGAGAAATCCTTTCGAAGAGAAGAAAAATCCCTAGTGGTCTGCAGGGTCACCAGAAGTGTCCCCATTGGAAGATTTCCCATCTATTCCTGTTCTGATGAAAACCCAATACGTCAGTGATAACGTCCCGAGGACAAAAAGAGGGGGTGAATCTCCCCAAAATAAAGAAAAAATTCAACTCAATTCAACTTTAATAACCCCCCCCACGCTAATTACATTTCAATGATCAGATACATTTTATGATAAACCCCCAAAGTTCTGTAGTATTTCCTGTTACAGAAGAATGAACATGGAATCCCCTCTCGCCAGTTGGAGTCCCCCATGGAGTCCCCTCTCGCCGATTAGTTGTATTTAAAAAAAAAAAAATCTCTCTCTCTCCCACCTGTCTCTCTTTCTCCCCCCTCTTTTGCTCTCCCTCTTTCTCCCAAACCAACTAATCGATAATGAGAATAGTTGCCAACTATTCTCATAATCGATTATTATCGATTTCATCAATTAGTTGTTGCAGCCCTACAGTTGTCTTACCTCTTTGATTCACTGGATCTTTGGCAACGTATGCTACATATTCTGCTGTGTCCTGCAATACAAAATGGCAGGGAAATGGTTACCCAGAATCCTCTAGCCCAATTCACAGCACCCTGTACACCTTGAGGCCCCATTCACACCTATGCGTATTGTAATATGCGCGTCTGTCACGCGACCGTCACGCGTTTTTTTAACCGCGATTCGCAGTAAAAAAGTCGCGCGACCGTCGCGCGATTCCAAAGGCTACTTGGCAGTATACAAATGGAAAACGCCCTACAAAACGGACCAATACGCAGCAAAAAACGCTCCGGGACCTTTTCATGCGTGGGCCGTTTTGTAGTGCGTTCGGGACGGGCGGAAATACGGACAGGTGGGAACGATACCATTGACTACAATGCTATTTATTTTTTTGACCGTTTTGTAGAGCGTTCATCGAGCGTAGGACGCGCTACAAAACGGTCAGGTGTGAATGGGGCCTTAGTGAACTTCTACTTGCTGACTCTATAATTCACCTCGTCCTTCAGTACAAATGTGAACAGAGGTCTGTCATTGTTGGAGCTGCTGTGTATAAATGAATATCTATATGTATAAGTATATGACCCAAGTATGTGGGACCCCTCCGAATGATGGAGTTCTGGTGTTCCCAGTGAAGGCTCCTGTTAACCCCTTAAGGGCCAAGGCCTTTTGTTCACGTACATGTTATAATCCACATTTTAGGCCTGAAAGTTACTTCAAACCCCCACACATTATATATTATCTGAAATCCAAGACCCTGTAGAATAAAATGGCGGCAGTTGCAAATTTTTATGTTGCACGACATTAGCGCAACTTATCAAGCCCCCAAAAATTTTGTGAAAAATGCACTTAAGTTAATTTTAGTGCCCCAAAACACTATATAAAACCATTAATTTTTATACAATGTAAAAGGTGAGGTTACAACGAGGAAATAGATATCCAACATGCCCATGTTAAAAATGGTGTGCGTCCGTGAAACTGCGACAGAATTCAGTACCCCAAAAAGTCCATAGACGACGCTTTAAAAGCTGCTACAGGTCATCAGTATAGAGATACACATAAATACTGGCCCTAGAATTATTGCTTTTACTCTGGCGTGTGCAGCGATACCCAACATGTGTAGCACGTCATCGTTTTCATACGTAGGCGCACCCGACGTGTGTGTTTACGTGACAACGCGCATGCATGCGGGGACTTTGTTGTTTAAATTATTATGTTTAAATTATTTTTACATTTAATTTATTATTTTTAAAACGGTTAGTTAACGTTACTTTAATTGCTATCACATAGAGGGGCTTAGAAGCCCCCCATGTGATAACATGTTGGTGCTGACAGATCCTCTTTAAGGGGATACTGGGGGCCCAAAAGACCCCAAGTGTCACCTTTCCACTTTAAATAAGCTATTGAAGTGCAGATCACACTTCAATAGCTTATTGCTGGGCTTCAGGAGCCGAGCAATGACAGCTCAGGGACTGGAAGGGGCAGCGGAGCTCAGGAAACACGGCAGGGGGTGTTGCCTGGCCTCCCCCGCCTCCCGCCGGC